GTACATGTAGATGTATGCACCAACAAAGTTCTAATATATATATATATATATTTGAAAAGTTTTTTTGGTGTACAAAACTTGAAAATAGCTTTTATATGTAGAAACATCTGTTAGCTGAGTTCTTGCACAGATCTTAAAATATAACATTGATAAACAGAAACATCGGCACATGTAGATACGTCTACCAATTTTTGTGAACATACATGTACAGCATTAAAGTTGTAGTATAAATACTTAACGTGTGTGCAAATGTGTATATTTTATACTGAGTCCATCAGGAAAGGGTTAATTAAAGTGTTGATGTCACAGTGTTTTGGACAAAGAAGGAATATAAATACAAGTAAAAGATAATAGTTTTTATAAGTACTGGTGAGAAGTATCACATAACATTGTAACAATGAGGATAAACTACACTAATTCTGTGATATATATATAGTACTCAAAGAAATGAAGCTTAAGTATAATATTGTGTTGAATTTGAAAACAAACATTCAAGTGAAAAAAAGGTAAGTCACTTGAAAAAAAAAAACTGGTTCAAATACAAAGAATTAAGTATTAAACATTTCAATTAAATTATCTTTTCCTTGGCCTATAGAAAATTAACATAATTAGAAGTCCACTTTCAGGTGAGGAAAGAGTCAACAAATAGTGTCCAAAAACAGTGCAATATAAACTTCCTGGTTGGCAAGAACCAACAGGAAATGTTTATTTTTCCCCTACAGTGATTTTAACAATTCCCTTGTTTGGAAAGCCAAACTAGCTGCATTTGTTTATTGTTTAAATATAATTTTTAGTTTGAACTAAGCTGTTAAATTTTATTAATTAATTGGTTTGTGTCATCCATCAATCTCAAAGTATCAAATTGAGGAAATAATACATAATGTAAAATGCAGCAAACTGCATAAGGTACTAGTATATTGTGATGAATTTCTCGAATGACCATGAATGATCGGGAAGGCCCAATTGTATTCAAGATGCCCCCTTCTTTAGTATATAAGCATGGCAGAGAAAGCCTGCGAGGATGAAGTAAGAGGATTCTGGGTAATTTACGATTCTGTTTCGAGCTAGTGTGTGTTTTGCACTCATAGAAAGCGAAATTATCGAGCTTGTGAATCGCTGTGATTTATAGCATGTATTATAAAAGTAGTTAAGTTATAAGTGATGAGAAATGTACTGATTGTGAAATTACTGTGTGCTAAAAGTTTTTATCGAGGAAGAATAAACTGATTTAATCAAAAAGGACTTGTATTGGTGAAGTTCCTCGGAAAGAATTTATACCGGAAATTATCAAACAAGCAGATATGCAACAATATTCAACTATTAACCCAAAGTTTTAGCAATCATGAAATATTACAAGCAATAAACATTTTTTTTGCAAAACTTAAGTATGATGTAGGGATGACAATGCCAAGAAATACAGAAACAAGGTAGGAATGAATACAAAAAAGCACAAGTAGTCAAATCTTTCCAAGAATAACATTTTATCTACAACTAAATGTTCAATTACTGTCCATTTCATGAATTCAGGTTTAAATAAAAGCATTTAAACCATATAGTCCTATACAGTCTTACAGTGGTTAATAACCATAAGGTTATAATATTGATTCAATACTTAATGACCACTTATGTAAGGATTTTTGTATGGTTTTGTGTATTCATCCCTATTTTGTTTCTGTACTTTCTGGCACTGCCATCCCTACATCATACATAATTTTTGCAAAAAATTGTTTTACTTGTTTCCCTTATTCGTTTTTAGTGACTTAATTGAAGTAGGTTGATAAGTGAATGGTTTTTATATTTTTATAATTCAATGGTAATGTATATTGTTAATATCATATCAGTTTTGTCAGTTTCTCTAGTTTTGGATTACAATGGGGGCCAGTGAAGCTGGAACAGTTTTTTCAGGATGGTACAAATTACCGCAAATTGCTGGACCAACGTTAAGGAGATATTTATAGAACCCATGCCTTCCAATTTCACCCCAACTTACTGCATATGCATACAATGGACTCCATCACATGCTAGGGTCATGTCAATTAACAAGAAGGATATCATACAGATCCCAGGCCATGAAGTATGATACCACACATACACACACACAGCTGCCACACTCAGCCCCACTGAAAATTTGAATCAAATCACACCAAATTTCTTGGCAGTTATTTCAGTTTAAAGAAACATTTGGGTCAACAGAAATAAATCTTTATTTATGAAAAATGGAAATATGCTTATGAATTGAATTCACTGCTAAGTAATAGCATTTTTATTTATTATTCCCCACAAAAATACATGTGGTAAAAGAACAGAATAATATTACAATTATATAAGCTGTGAAACACTCGATAATTGCAGTTAGGTTCTCAAATAGGGCTATAACTCAACTTTAGCAGTTACTTGTAAGCATCACAGAGTAATAAACTGAAAGTGACAGACATTTTTTTCTCAGCCCATCCCTACTATGTTTAGGGATACAACCAAAATACATGCTATAAAATTCCTTAATCAAAATACTCACGCAATCTTCAGAATCAAAGATAGCAGGAGGGGGAGGGGAGCATCGTGAGTATGTACTGATGTTGACAGGGTCCTAAAATGTAAAAAACATATATATATAATATATTTCAATTTAACAGTGGAAAATTTATGTAAAAATTAAAATTCAGTTAGCAATGTAAATTTAAGGAGTTGTACACTTGCATGTAGTTCTTTGCAAGGTATATGTACAAAAGTTCAGTGGCCTTTAAACAGAGCAACAATTTTATTTACCCTATTGGCAAGGGTAACCTTTATTGCGCATGGCACAAGGTTTTAGTGTCTTACATTCAAAATTTTATTAAACTACTTTTTTTATGTTATACCAATTAGAATAGCATAAAATCTTAGCTAATAATATAGAAGTTTTAAGTTCTTAATTCTAAAATGAAATATATAAAAAAATCCTGAATTTCCACGAGTGTAACACACACATGACAAATTTTGTCTAAGCATGTTCTCATCCCTTTTTTATCCATCGCCCCTCAAAAATGTATGAAATTAGACATAAAACAGACCATAATTTTTATGGCCTTCAATTTTGTTTTGTTACATAGCTATCAAAGAGAAAATCAGCCCCCCCCTGCCACACCCACCTGTCACATCCTCTCTTTCACAATTGGTTGATAGTTCTCTCTTATGTGCCA